TACTTATAAAATTTAAGTACGTCAATTAATTTGATCAATAAGTCTGCAATTGTAAACGACATGTCGGCCGACTGTTACATAAATGCCCTAACCTTACCCTAATCTAAGGGGTCATAACCCTAAAGTTAACTAAGTAAATTATTATGAAATATGTGTTGACTCTGCTTTAGGCATCTCCAAAAAAGGAACCTCGACATAAACGCAAATCAAGCCCGTGAAATTAGAAATTTAGGGTTAGGACGTTAAAGTTAGAGTAAATAATCATCTAAATTTTTCATACACGTCGTTTTCAATTAACGCTCCAAGACAAGTTTAAACTATTATATGTGACTATTTTTTTCTATGGTGATACAAGAGAAGATCTGTGCCCGCAGTGCCTTATAAAGAAAACAAAAGATATTAAATTCATAGTGGCACTAATTAGAAAAGTGCTTTATAGAATTCAATCAGTGGAAGAAAGAGAATACTTATCTGGTGTCAAACCTATCAAAGCAAGCCCCAATTCACTCTAATCCTCGGTCCAAATCTATTCACGCCTCAATAGAAGCATGCTTATTAAGATGTAGAGAGGGTATTAATGTTAGATACTCGATCCCATCCTGACCTTTACTTTCGCGTAAACACACCTACACCTTGGTTTGATTCCGGAACCATTCTCCACTTTGGTTTGATTCTCCACCTTTTTCAACGTATGTACATACATACATACTTATCTGTTATTGGTTTTTAACCCCTGCAGCGCTTATATAATGACTTTACACAAATTCACGATGCTTTGCTAATTACATATATTTGTATGCATGCAATATTATATTGTTAGAGACAAAATGATCCGCGAACGTTGCGCCCGAATGCGTCGTGGAACGGTGCCAGTGACCACAAAGAATCGAATGACGATTTCCCTGTAGCAAGTCGCGAAAATGTATGCGCAAGTCAAGCCCCATTAACGATTTCTCATTGAGAAAATGCCACTTTTCGATTTGGTTTGAGGTGTCAAAGTAATATTACTTTGTCGGGTTAAGTGTGTGGCCGTAGTAATGTATCAATTGTGCAAATGGGTGGGAAATTCTAAAGTAACGAAATTGGCGTGGATAATTCTTCGATTGTTTTTTCTTTTTTCTTCTACCTGTTAAACGTATAAAAAAGCCTTTATTTCTAGCAGAAAATGTAAGAAAGTTGTTAGTCAAAAAAATAATAAATAATAGAAACCCAATTCGACCCTAATAAAGACCACCTTGACCTTTGTAATGCATATTCGTTCTCGTTTATATTACTCAACTCCAGCCTTAGACCGCCAAATCGAATCCACCTCTACCGTTGAGTAACGTTGCGTGAAGTCATTCTTGTTTCTACGTATTTGAAATTATATCTTAGCACATGATTGATACAAAGCTTGCCATGTTTTCAAATAATTTGAACCTAAATTTATGCGAATAAACTTTCTCTTTAATATTGACATACAAATACAGATATTTAATATTATATATTATTAGACACTTGATGCATTAAATATAGATGATTAGAAGAGAATTTTGTCTGCATTGACTTAGAGATTATAGGTCTGGCATTTATCTGTGACATCATTAATTGCTTAACACGTTCAACTACTACCCTTTTTTTTATATTAGGTGGATCTCGGTTTTCTTCACTGGAATTATTTTGTAGTATTGCTATTAATATTTCATGCTCACTTTCCTAAAGGCGACTTTCCAAAAAATACTATTTTTTCAACTTCACAATTCCAATATCCCTTTATTCTAACAGAACTCATTTCAGATCCGTTCTTTTCACCAACGATTAATTCACTGATAGACAAAGTAATTAAAGTCATCATCGTCGATCTTGCTCATATAACTGACACTCATTTTGTAAACACGGCATTTCACCAACAATCAATTCAATTCAATTCACCAACATTTATTTTACTAACAAGCTCAATTCACTGACAATCAATTCATTGACAATCGATTCACCAACACTCAATTCACTGACAATCGATTCACCAACACTCAATTCACTGACAATCGATTCACCAACACTCAATTCATCAACAAAGTAATTATACCAGAATTAAGTTTAAGATTAGTGAATTAAGCTTGTCAGTGGATTGATTTAGTTTTAGTGAATTGAGCTGCTGGTGAATTACAATTGTACTCAAATTGTGGAACACTTAAAAATTTTCTCATTTTCTGAAACCTCTTCAATCTCATTTTAAGAATCATCTAACTTTTCGTAAACTATTTCTCCATCTATGTATCAAAGTTTCTAGAACACGAAGAAACTTCCAAAAAGTTAGCCCTATAGAAAAATAGTTACATAAATAATAAAGAAAATTACAGAAAATATACTGAATATAATATATATATACATA